GGGGGGGGGGGGGGGGCCTCCGGACGGGCGCACCTTCTTGGCAGCGCCAGCCTTGGCCACGGCCAGAGAAACACCGAGGATGGCATTGGCACCGAGCTTGGCCTTGTTCTCAGTGCCATCCAGGGCCAGCATCAGCTCATCGATGCCGGTCTGATTGGTGGGGCAGAGGCCGGAGGAGATGACCGCCGGGGCGATGATGTCGTTGACATTGCTGATGGCCTTGTTGACGCCCTTGCCGCCGTACTTGGTCTTGTCGCCGTCACGCAGCTCCAGGGCCTCGTGGGCACCGGTCGAGGCACCAGAGGGGACAGCCGCGCGGAAGAGGCCTTCATGCGGGGGGTGAAGGAGATGGCACAGGCATCGAGGCAACACGGGGATCGGCGGGGTGAGTCGGGGATGTGTGGAGGACAGGGCGAGAGGGCAGGAGGGCCAGAAGGCGAGAGGGCGAGGACAAAAGGGCGCACCCAGGTCGGTGGTGACGTCGACCTCGACAGTGGGGTTACCACGGCTGTCGAGGATCATGCGGGCCTTGATGGACTTGATGGTCATGGTGTGTATGTGTGTCGGGGGGGGGGGGGGGCGAGAGGCGAGGGGAGGAGGCAGGTTGCAACGAAACGCGGGGTTGTTTGCAAGTCTCGGCGTGTGCCTCGACCACCGGGGTGACCGAAAGGCGCGGGTGTCTGAAAAGCCCGCCACACGGGAGGCCAGGCTCCTGGTCGGGCGGGCTTCGGCCGCTGCCATGACAGGGGCCCTGGAGCCGCGGTGATACACCGGGCAGGGGAGTGTCCAACACTCGGGCCCCCGAAGCCACCGGTCGAGCCCATCCCCGGGGGTCGAGAGGTCGAGGATGACGACTCCCGGTCCCTCGCCGGGACTGACACACCTGCTCCGCGCCTGCGTCACCCCCCTCCCCAGCCCCCCTCCCACCTGCCGCGGCGAAGCAACCCCCTTTCGGCGCGGACAATGACCAGTGCTGGGGGACGCCCGGTGGGTGCAGGGGGAAAGAGGGGGGGGGGGGGGACGGGGGCGCACACCAGAGAAGCTCCCAGAGCAAATGAATGTGTCGGATTCGGAACACTCCGCAAAAATGCGCCCGCACCCCCCCCCCTCCTGCGCCGGGTCTTGGGGCTAGGCACGCCCCGTCTAGCCCCAGGACGCGGGCCGGATCGGAACACGAAAGGTGTTGGGCTGCGATTCATCAATGGCTCGTGCGCATTTTGCGCGTGATCAACTATGCTGATAAATCAGCACCTCTCGCCGGCTTTCCCACCGCCCGCGCGATCGGCCCCACGGGCAGCCCCACACAGGCGGCTTCCTTCCCACAGGTCCGGACCCGCGGCGTTTCCCACCGCGACCGGCCCCCTCCAGGCGGACTGGAGCGGAATTCACGCACCCTCCCGGGACCCGGGGCCGGGGCGGCACTGACGAAGTGGCATGCGCCAACGAAGCAGTCAAGGGGGTCTAGTTTCTGGCGGGCCTCCGGACGCGGGCTCGATGGCTTGGCGCCCGCGCTTGGGGACAACCCCGGCCTCTGCCAGGAGTGCGTGCCGGTTCCTTCTGGAAGGAGCGAACACTCGGCCCTGTCGGGCAGTCGCGCAGGGGCCTGAACAAAGGCCGGGGGGGGGGCCGCGGAGAGCGCCCCTCCGCCTGAGGGGGAGAGGTGGACAAAGCCGGAGCCCAAGGCCGGCGCGCGCATGAGCGCCGACGCCACTCGTGAATGTGACTCCCTCGCCCCCCCCCCCCCCCGCGCCCCCTCTCCAGGGCGCTGACGAACATTTGCCCGGGGCCGAGCGGTCACCCAGGATCCCGGGCCGCACTACCTGCCTGGTTGAGGGAGAGAGTTGCCTGGTCATTGCGTCACACTGCCCCTCCCCGTCGCCGGCCCCCCCCCCTCTCCCGAATGTGCGGCCCCCCTCCTCTCCTGGCCCTCTCGGACGGTGCGGCATCTTAGACTCTATCGCGAGGGGCGGCCACGGGCCTTAGGGGGGGGGGGGGGGGGACCTCAGTCTGTCGAGGGGCACAAGGAGAAGGGGCAGAGGATGGCCAGCCTATGGGCGTGGGTTGGCACTGCCCGTCGGAGCGCCTGTGCGACAGCCACGCCGGCCGCGGTGCTGCCCCACCCCCCCACCTCCCCGCTCGCCACGACCGTCTCCGGCTGCCCGTGCGCCCTATTCCCCCTCCCCGCCCTCCTGCGTCCGGGTGGCATTGCGTGCTGATGACTGAACACGCTCGGGCCTCGCGTGAACCCAAGGCAGGGGCCGTCACCCCCTCCCCCGTGTGCCACGCAAGACCGCACGAGAGCGAAGCAAGAAAGCAACACCGCAGGTGGGCGGGAGCTTTGTCATCCGAGGCCATGGGCTCGCCTCATCGGCTGGGACTCCCTTTGAACTGGACTCCCGACAGGAAGACCGGAGGCTGGCCCTCGCGCGGCCCTCCCGCCGCTGTTGGCCGGCCTACAAAGCAAGCCTTCGTAACCTGCTCCCCCCCCCCCCCCCCCTCCCCCGCCGCCGCCCCTCTCCTGGGTCCTTGGCCGCGCCTTAACCGTCTTCCTGGGAGGAAGCAACAGCACCTGGCATCCCCCCCCCCTGCGACCGGGGACTTGCCGATCCCTTACGCCGTCGCGGGTCAACTTCGGGGCGCCCCTGCTTTTGGTGCCCTTTTTTCCGGTGCCAAGGTGCCTGCCCCCGCCCGCCGGGCACCCGGCGCCATGCTCCTGAGACCCACTGAGGAAGGTGGGAAAATTCGTTGTTCCCGGAATGCCCCAGGCCACCGGACCGCCGGGCGCTTGTGGGCACATGCGCCGTGTCTAGGCCTTCTTTTGACGTTGTCCGCCCCCCCTCCCCCGGCTGCCCGCGGCGATACGGCCCCCTACGCACTCGCCCGCCCCCCTCCCCTCCGGTGCGTGGCCGACTGGCCGGCGGGCAACCAGCGTTCCGACCGGCGCCCCCCCCTCCCCCCCCGCGGGGTGAGTCATTACCTACAGTGGCGATCGGCGCTCCCCTGGCCCACGACGCGCCCGGGGAGTGGCGAGGCCGGCTTCCTCGCACGACTCGGGGCTGGGCAAGATCGGCCATGGATTTTCGCCCAGGGCCAGAGAGGCCCAGGTCCAGGCCAGACCCGGGCCGTGGAGGGACCAGCGGAGAAGGGCAAAGTGAGCTGAAAGAATATATTGTTGTTGTTTATTTTACATCTTTTTATTGGGTGCTCGCTCGAGTATTCCCCCCCCCCCCCCCCCGGCGTCCCAGCTCCCTTGCTCTCCCCCGCTTCGTGGAGGCGTGTGTTGGGTGTGTGTCGGGGGTGGGGACCCGCGCGGGGGCCGCCTGGGGCTTGTTTTCATTTTCGCCCATTGCCAGGGGGATTGGTTGAATTCCTGCCCTCTCAGGCGCCTCCCCGAGCCCCCCTCCCGGCCGCGAGTGGTCAGTGGTCCCCGTGTGTTTGTTTCTCTCTCTCTCTCTCTCTCTCTCTCTCTCTCTCTCTCTCTCTGTCATACACATACACATTCCGTGCCTTTCTTGTGCACTCTTCGGCCAAGATCCCCGCCCCGATACCAGACTCCGTGTTGTGTGTGTGTGTGTCCGCGAGCGCGCGCATTCGGATCCCACACGTCAGCACGGTCCCAGATCTCCCCGGCCCGGCCCTCCTCTGCGCGCCCCCCACACCCCATGTCAGAGTATAAAAGACTCCGCCCCGGACGACCCCCTGCCTCGGCGGTCGAGAATTCAATCCCACCCCCTGAGATAAAATCCTCCTCTGCGTCATATCCCCCGCCGTTCTCTCCTCCCTCCCCCCTCTCCCCCTCGATCCATCCCCACCTGCATCCCCCCCCCCTCGATCCAGTCTCCACCATGAAACATACAGGAACTACGGAAATCCCGGACTTCGCCGGGGACTCCTCCTCCTCGCTTTTGGTCCAGAGCAGCCTGTCGGACTTCTCGTCAGTCGGCAGCTCGGCCGTCCATTCGCAGCTGGAGTCTGCCCTTGAGGGATCGCTCAGCTCCGAGTCAATTGCCAAGTTCCTCGAGTGCGTCACGCCGATTGCCCCCCGCCCCCCGCCCCCCCCGCCCCCCGCCCACTCTGTCCTCCAGCCATCTGACCAGCTCTCCTCCCCCCTCCACCCGTGCATCCAGCCGCTTCGTCCAGTTCCCCAACCTTCCGCGAGTCGCCGGCGTCCAGGTGCTGAAGGCCCTCGCCACCGGGCAGTCCTCCTCCGAGCCGCCGGCCAGCTCCGCCGCCAGTGGCAGCCGTTCGGCATACTTCGCCCGCGGTGCGGCCGATCAGCGTCGCTTCGACCAGGCCCTTGCCCAGCTCATCGACACGCCCCAGGCCGAGCGGGCCGAGCCCTTCCAGGCGGTCATCTTCAACCTGCCCCCGGGAGGACCGGACTTCCATGGGGAAACCCTGTACCTGGTGGACAACTCGGCGGATCTCTTCGAGTGCGCCGGGATGACCAGCTCCGCCGCCCTGGCAGCCCAGCTGGCCGCCAAATCCGCTTCCTTCGACCGTGGCACCGGGCTCGTCGGCTTCACCGGGCCGTCCATCTGCCTGGCTAGCCCCGGGGCGCGGACCGTGGTCCTGAACTTCCCCCGCGGGGAGACCGGCAGCGCTCTGAGCACCGTGCTGCGACTGCTTCGTCGCGGGGCCGGCTCCCAGTCCTCCACGGCCCCCTTGTCCTTTGTCACGATCAACTACTGCCCGGAGTCCGAGCTTTTGCAGGTGGTGGCATTGGTCCTGGCCCCGGAGGAGGAGCCCCACACCGCCGAGTGCCTGGCACAGCGCCTCTTCGCCGATCTCCTCGAGGCGTACTCGCTCCCGGGCCAGGGCCCGGTGGCCGAGGCGGTGGCCGAGGGCCTCCTCTCCGTGCGTGCCGGCCTGCTGGCCCATTCGGTGTCCCTCTTCAGCGAGTACTTCGCCCCGGCCGGACAGGCGCTTGATGCCCCGGCCCAGGCGCTCGATCTGTCGGTCGCCACCCTCGGCCAGGAGGCCCAGATGCTGGAGCAGGCGGCCCAGCAGCTGGCCGGTCGCCTGCACGGCACCGAGCATGGCTCCAAGCACGGCACCAGCGCCCCCCCGCCCCGGAGCCACGGGTCTCACACGTATGCCTCGGGCCGTGGGTCGTTCGCCGAGCCGCCGACTCTTGTGGTCCCGGTGTCGGGCGCCAGCCCGGGCGGCAGCCCCGGCCAGCCGGTGTCACTGCGGGTACTCGCCGGCGCCGCGCTCCCGGCCGGGTCCGCTGCCCGGGCCACTGGTGCTTCCACCTCGGGGTCGGCCCTGTCCCGGGCAACCGAACACTTCTGCGCCAGCGTGGTGACCAGCAACTTCGCCGCGTCGCACGGTCCATCGGCCCTCTTCTGGCACCTGGACGCCGAGCGCCTGCTGCCGGCTGGCGCTGACTCCGGCCCGGCCCTCCCCCGGCCGGAGATTCTGGTCATGGTGGCCGGCGCCGGATTGCGTGGCTTCCATGTGCGCATGCGGACCGTCTCGCGCGGTGGGCTGCGCTTCATTCGGCCATCGGCCACGGCCGTCCGCAGCCTCCTGCGCGAGGTCCACCAGCTGGCCTCCACGCAGGAGCTCAAGAACAAGGACATCCCGGAGGGCGGCGCCAAGGGGGGCTTCACCGTGGACGGCTTCCCGGCCGAGGGGGGGACCGTGCCTCCGCTGCAGGCGCGTGGCGCCTTCCGCCGGTACTTCGATGCCCTGCTGGATCAGACCCTGCTGCCGAACCCCGCCGGCGAGGAGATCCTCCTCTTTGCCGGGCCCGATGAGGGCACCGCCGGGTTTATGGCCTGGGCGCCGGAGCATGGGCGTCGCCGGGGCACCGGCGCCTGGCGCGGCCTGGCCACCGGCAAGCCCCCGGCCATGGGCGGTGTCCCGCACGATGCCCACGGCATGACCACATCCTCGGTCCGGCAGTACTCGCTCGGGATTTGCCGGCGTCTGGGTCTGGCCACGCGCGATGTGCCCACCAGCCAGACCGGCGGGCCGGATGGCGATCTCGGCTCGAATGAGATCCGCCAGGCCGTGGCGGCCGGGCATCCAATTCGCGCGGTGGTCGACGCCACCGGTGTCCTCTTCGACCCGGCTGGCCTGCAGCATGAGGAGCTCCTGCGCCTGGCCCGGCTTCGCGCTCCGCTGGCTGCCTTCCGGCCGGACCTCCTGGGGCCCGATGGGTTCCAGGTCCTGGCCACCGGTTCCCCCGGCAGCCCGATTACCCTGCCGGATGGGCGGACTGTGGACAACCCGCAGCGCTTCCGCGACCAGTTCCACCTGGATCCGGCCCTGACATCCGACCTGTTTGTTCCGTGTGGCGGCCGTCCGGCCGCTGTCAACCGCGACAATGTTCACCGGATGTTTGCTGGCCCGGCGGCCGAGGCGGCAGCCGCCCTGGCCAAGGGCCAGCAGCCGCCGCCGCCGCCAGCCGCCGGTGCTGATCTCGGCCAGCCGCGCTTCAAGTACATCGTCGAGGGGGCCAACCTCTTCATGACCCAGGTATGTGTTTGCCTTTGTACGTGGGGCGCCCGGGGGGCCGGGCAGGGGCCACTTGTTCGAGGGCCCTCGTCTGCTCTCTTTCCCCGGGCCTCCAATCGCTATCGTCTCTTGTCTCTCCGTCTCCCCCCCCCCCCCCCCCCCCCCCAAAGAGTGCCCCCCCCCCCCCCCCCCCCCCCCCCCCCCCCCCCCCCCCCCCCCCGGACTTCCCTGCTCCTTCTAACCCCGATGTTCGCGTGCCATGCCGATAGGAGGCCCGCCTCTTCCTCGAGGACAAGGGCATCATCGTCTTCAAGGACTCCTCCGCCAACAAGGGCGGTGTGACATCCTCCTCGCTGGAGGTGCTCTCCGGGCTGGCCCTCAATGACGAGGAGTTTGTGCGCCTCATGTGCTCGCCCGCCAGCAGCGGGCCCAAGGTGCGGCCGCTGGACCTGGCGCAGATCGGCCCGGACACCGACGACCCGGAGGACCGTCTGCATGGGTTCCCGGCCGGAGCGCCGGCCTTCTACCGTGCGTATGTGGCCGACATCCTGGCCATCGTGCGGTACAATGCGCGCAGCGAATTCGACCGCCTCTGGGACGAGCACCAGCGCACCGGCGAGGCCATTTCCATCCTCTCCGATCGCCTGTCGCGGGCCATCCTCACCCTGAATGCTCGCCTGGCCGAGGGGGCCGAGGCGGATGCCGCCGTTGCCGAGGCCCTGGCCCGCGCGGCCGGCAAGAAGCCCACCCCTGCCGCCACCTCCGGCGAGAGTCGCATCTGGGCCGATGAGGCCCTCCGTGGCGCGGCCCTCCGCTGGTCCTGCCCGCCGAGCCTCCTTCGCCAGGTTGGCGGTGTGCAGGCCCTGCTGGAGCGCGTCCCCGAGACTTACCTCCGGGCCATGGTCCACTCGCGCCTGGCCTCCGGGTTCATCTACGAGGTGGGTCTTGGCGAGGAGGCCGCCGCTCCGGGGGCCTTCGCCGCCTTCGCCAAGAGCGTGATCGATCGCCTGCCCAACGACAATGCGCCGTCCTTCGTGGCGGAGCCCTCGGCCCCGGCGCACCTGTGACGCGCCCGGGCACGCGAGTCCCGCTCCCTTTGGTGGCGCTCGCATCTCCTGCGCCCCCCTCCCCTCCACCTGTGTGTCGACCGGTGATCCGACGGCCGCCTGTGTGTGTGTGTGTGCATTGCCTGCGTACCGTAGTAGTGTGGTAGTAGCCCCACATGAGAACATATGGCCCCGGCTGCGGCGGGGGGCCTCCCCCTCCCCCCCCCCCGCCCCCCGGCCCAGCGACAGCCGACCGTAGGGCTGGGAAAGAGAGGGCGCAACGGGAGAAACGCGCGTGCCCCGCGAGCCAAACACAAAAAAATACCCAAAATACACCACATAAATTTCCGGAAATCGGCTTGGTTGTTCATTTGCCCTCTTCGGTCTTGATCATGGCGGCTGCTGGTGGTGCGGTCGACAACATCGCGGCCGGCGACACAGCAATCGGCCAGTCATCGTGGGGCTGCTTCCAACACACCGCGCACCGAGCCCCGGCCGGAGGCCCTTGCTCCTCGGGGGGGTGCTGGTGGCCGGTCTCCTGCTCTTCGGCCCTGATGCCCGTGTCATTGGCTGAGCCCGCCTGCTCGGCTTGGTCAGCTTCTTGTTTGGCCAGACCGGGCTTGACCCCGCCGGTTCGACCCGTGGCGGGATATGTGCGAATGAGGGCCGGGTGCCCGGCGAGCCAGGCCGGAAGCTCCCCCCGGGTGGCGCGGTATCCCAGCAGTCGGGCCTTCGACTCGCTGCTGTAGTACTGCCGATAGGCGGCCACCGCGTCATCGACGCTCCGTGCCTCGGGGAAAAAGAGCGCCGGCGGTGCCGGAGCACCGGGGCCTGTTGAGCCACTGCGTGGGCGCTTTTTCATCGGCGAGGTATCCTCTGGCAGGGGGTGGAGCAGGAAATCCCGACGAATGGCGTCCGGCATGGCCAAAGCCGGCGTGGTGAGCTGGTGGCCACACAGGTCGAAGTTTCACGCGCACGCGCACGATGGGAGGAGGCTATCAGCAAAAGTACACATGGCCAGAGGGGGGCGCCCCCTCTCCCTCGCACGAGGCAATGCCGGTCCACATGTCATCGTACCTTGATCGAGGCCGTCCCCGGAGGGGGGCCCGCACCAAGGAGGAAGCGAACCTGCCGGGCTGACGCATGGCCGCGCTTCCACCCGACCCCCGGGATCAAGGTGTCGTAGAGATCCCCAGAGTCGGGAGACCGTTCGTCCACCGGGTCGCCACCGTAAAAGCGGGCATGCAGCTCCGCCAGGGCTAGGGCATGTGTGGCCAGCCTACAGTCGCCATGTCAGTCTGGGAGGGGAGGGGGGGGGGGCCAGGGTGCGGCCGGGGCAGAAGGAAAGGACACGGCGGCAGGCGGCCTCAAGGGCGCTCCACGACACAGGGAAGGACACACGTACCACTGGTAGTTGCCGGCGGACTTGCGAGCCCAGATGGCGCACGGATGCGACAAGTGTGATGGGAGGTATGGGGCACGGCCGGTTCCCGCCTGGCAGGCCGCCACCCACTGTGCCGCGAGCCAGTCACCCGGGTCGCCGGTCGGAGTCTCAGTGCCGGCCAGCACCCCGGCAAGCAGGCTTCGCACATTGGCGCCAGCTTGGAAAGCCTCGTCCGAATCCCGAAGAAATCCCGCACACCCGAAGGCCGGGCTGTCAGCGGGGCTGTCCGTCTATCGGGGTCAGATGTCGTCCACAGGGAATAGGATGAGGAGGAGAAGAGAGATGAAGAGGAGGAGGGGGGGGGGGGCGGCGGCAGGGAGCATGCACAATCGTGAGGGTATTCCACGCACGAGAGGGTGCCCTCGAAGCAGGCCTCCGAGGCAGATGTATGGACTGGATTGGCGGCCGGTTGCAGCGGCCTGGCGGGCTGGGCCAGGGCACGCCGTCCAAATGCCGAGACATCTCGCGCCGTTAGCGGGCCAGGGTCCGGGCCCGGCTCCCCCTGTGGGAGGCGTCGCGCCAGGCCGGCCAGTGCATACCAATGGCAGGCGTGCAGAATCTGACAGGCCTCCAACAGCATCTTGCCTACATGGCGATCTCCCAGAGCTCGAGCAGCGCTCACCGGGTTGCTGTGGAGGAAAAAGACATTCACCATGGCCAAGATGCGACAAGTGGCGCGGGCGGAGGAGAATGGGCGGTTGTGGGATGGACGCGCAAAGAGGACAGGCCAAGGTGGATGGAGGGGAGAAGAGGGCTCGAGCATGTTCCGGCATCCGGGCATCGATCGGCTGCGGTCTTTTTTTTTCTTTTGGCCCCCCGCCCCCCCCCCCCCCTTGTGAAACACGCCCACCTGAGCGCCTGCCGCAGCACATGCCGCGCGCGCCATGCCCCCCCCTGCGCACACGCACCCACACATCTGTGTGCGTCGGGGGGGGCGGGGAAGGTGCAGGGGAGGGGGCCCATCTCCCTGGCATTCGATCGCGGCCGTCGGTCCGATACTCCAGAATGAGATAGGCTCCGTGTTAGCTCCGATCTCCTTGGTCATGTGTGCAACCGAGATCACACACGCCTAGCCCACAATACCGGCCTGTCTGCGCGCCCTGCCAGCGCGCGGCCGCCCTATTTTTTCGGCCGCCCCAGGGGCCCATGTGCGAGATCCTTCCTGACAGCCCCACCCTCCATCCGCGCCACGAATGCCTTCTCTCTCTCTCTGCCTTTCTATCAGCCCCCCGAATCCCCTCTTCCCCTCCTTGCGACTCCGTGCCCTCCCCCCCGCGCCCTCGATGACGCCCGCCGAGAAGAATCCCGCCTCCCGGGAGGCCACCGCGGCCAAGGTGAACAAGATCAGCCACGAGCGCTTTGTATCGCTGCGCTTGCTGAAGGAGTACGCTGCGGCCGTGTGCCCGATACCACCGTGGTCCGGGCGAGTCCCGCCACCCGAGGCGCTTGACCATCAACCATTGCCCAAAAAGGCTAACCCCATGTGCCCGGGCGGAAGGCCGGCCCATCCTTCACACACGCACTTTTGCCGCATGGTCCCTGCTCGGCGGCATCCCCTCACGCACAAGGTGATCGAGTACAACTTGATGCTGGAGACATGCGGCGGCCCGGGGGTGGTGACATCCATGATGACCCAGGCCATCCACTTGACCATGGCCGCACGCAATGGCGCCAATCCCGGCATGTCCTCCATCCCCCCCCCCCTGGGCCCGCCGTACAAGATCGCCGTGGCCACGCGCTCCGGTTCCGACTGGATCATCCGCGAGCCGGATTTCGAGGAAGCCGGCCCCGAAGCCGGCCAGGTATTCGGCCGCGTGGAGTACGTTTCGGCTTTTCCTCTGACCACCGTGGGACCCGAGTGGCGCGGGTCCGCCTTCGGCAACAGCCCATGCTCTCACTGACGCCCCCTGCCGCTGAAGGCGTGTGCCCCAGCGCAATGGCGCCTACATCGTGGGCCCGGGGGAGAACCCCTTCCAAAAGCGGGGGATCTTCTCCCGGAGCTCCTCCAGCCGCCTGTCCCACACCTCGACCACGGACACGGGCCACGAGTCGGCCATCGGCTGGACCCAAGACCCGACCGATGTCGACTCGCCCTCCGCGGCAGCGACCCCAAGCACAAGCCCCACGCCCGGGGCTGACCGCGACGGCGCGAATGCCAATGTCTCGCCGATGCCCCAGAGCAGCCCCTCCCATAGCTCGGATTCCCTGGGCATCGCCCCTCCGGACTCGGGGGCCATTCGCCAGGAGCTGGCGGCTGTCATTTTTGTACGCCGTCTCGGTCGGCCAGGGCGGGACCTTTCACTTGCGTGCACTCGGGGCTCCTGCGAGCCAGGTTAAGAATTGACCCTTTCTCTCTTTCTCCCCCGCCCCCTCCCCCCCCCCCCCCCTCCCGGTGTCTTGTCCCATGGATTTAGGACTTCCACCCGCCGGAGACATCCCGCCGGGCGCCGCGACGCCACGCCGGCGTCGTCGGCGGCAATCCCATTCACACGGCCCGCGTGCAGCTTGTCCTGCCCGGGATCAACGTCCAAACCGGCAGGCCGCTATCGCACACGCCGACAACCGTGCGCTCAGCCTTTCTTCCTGGCCCGCCTTCGACCGGGGCACTCCATTGGTGGGCGGGCGAGGGGCAGGGGGCGGGCAGGGCCACATTGTATTGACCAATCTCATTGGGCCGCCCCAGACCGAGGAGCGCATGCTACGCTCGGCCCACAAAAGCCTCCTTCCCCATCCCATGTGCGTGGCCATCCCGAGCAAAGCGCCAGTCTGGAGTGATCGTACGTTCTGCCCCTCGGCCGTGTGCTCGAACAGCGTGAGACTCCCTGCCGGCAGGGTGCCCCGATGCGGTACCTTACCTCCCCGCGCACCGACACCCACTCACCCGGTGAGCAACCACGTCCGCACACGCACACATATGCACAGTGGCCCGGTCGTATGTGCTGAATTTTCGCGGACGCGTCACCTTGGCCTCGGTGAAGAATATGCTCATCATCCACCCTCGCGATCGTAAGTTAGGGTTATGGCAGCCTCGTGCCGGCTGCCCGTCACTCCTGTCGCCCCCACCGCCCCC